TAAATTTCTATCTTAAATTTTATTTTCTTTGCTTTTCGTTTTTCAATATGTATATATATATTTCTTGTTATTGAATCTCAATTAATTAACATTTACATTAAACTGGTGGAGTCAATGGATCTTGACTCCATGAATCTTGATCTATATGAATTTAGAGTTATTATAGATGAATTTATTTCTATTTATGTATCTAGAAATTTTAATGGGTTTTTAAATTCATGTATCAGCAACTAATTCTTATGTACCAAATGTAATATAGAAAAAAAAAAGTTACCATTTATAATATTTCATAATCACAAAAAATTTAAATAATGGAAGTTGAGTTTAAGAGTATAATTTTCTTCTCTTATAGTTCTATCCTAAATTTTATTTTCTTTGTTTCGTTTGAAACTCATCAAATCCTCCTAACAAATTGGTATCAGATATTACTTTTATAGCACTTATAAAATATATCAGAATAACGTGCAATGAATGTTCAACTATTACTAATAATATAAAAGGATGTATATACAATTATTGTCCATTTTAGTAATTTTATACGCTCACGACATTAAAGTACTTTGTTTACAAAATGCTAATTTTGAGATGCACAACAATTTTGAAATAAAAGTTTATAGACGTTTAACTGATTATTTCTTTAGTACAACTAATTCTTTTTTCAGCACAGTTACAATTGATTTTCTTAAAAATATAGCAATACTAAACCAAAACTTAATTAGTATTTTTCTTTAAGGGAGAATGTATACAAATAAGATAATAAAATAAAAAATTATTAACATATTTTTAAAGGTATTTTATTCCCAAAAATGCTACATAAGCCAATATTGGCATTATTGTGGAACTCCACAAAATCCAGCAAATCAAAATCCCATTAATTAAAATAAATTTTATCTAATAAACTTGCAAATTAGCCATTATCTTATTGAATTGTGTTGACTTCGTTTTTTGTTAGGGTGACACAAGGAACATATACCCAGCCCACTTGTGTACATGTAAACAAATTTCAACACGTATAAACAGATTGCTAGTTGACAATATTCCAGATTCGAACATGGGAGAAGCTATATAACACAAGACAACTATGTTCGGTCTTAGATAATATACTTTTAATAATGATTGTGTAATAATAACCAATTGCAAACAACCCAAAGAAAGTAAAATAATCTAAATTATAGATGCAAATGTATAATCAACAAGAGAGAAGAAAATAATATCTTTAAGTGTATTGAGTTGCATTAGCCTTCAAATGATACAAGAATGGGATATTTATAGTGTTACATATGAAATAACGTCCATTGGATGAAGATAGACGCGACTCTCTCTCCTTAACTGAAGCATCTAATTTTAGGTATTAATTTGCACTTACTAGCCTTGGCGCATTTAATACTCTTTAAGATAATAGCCACTTACAACCTAAACTGACAAAACTTAGACATTTCACTCATTACAAATGTCTCATTAATCATTCCAAAAGAATATCATACATAATAGGTTTGTAACTAGTTGTGGTTGAGTTTCGATTTTTA